CATTGAGGTCAAGATGGCTACTCTATGTAAACAAACTACTTATCCGTTCGTTCTAGAAACAAGTCAGATGTTATGTTTTATTTATTTTGCCGTATTTAAATTTTATGCCTGGTCAGGTTTATTTACTTTTTGCTCTTTATTTCAGTTTGTTTGTCATGGATAAAAGAGACCTTCCCAAGACGCGACGATGACTCTCGCCGTCTACTTGTGTGGGATTCATGCAGCGTTCACCTCACTTCAAAAGTAAAAAATGAGCTGTATTCCCGTAACGTCGACATTGCTGTTATCCCAGGTGGTTTGACGTCCCTTCTTCAGCTGTTGGATGTTGGAGTAAATAAACCACTAAAAGATCATATGCATGCCCAATGGGACGAATGGATGAAGACCGGTGACGCTATATTTACACCGGCCGGAAAACGCAAAGCCCCAACTAAGCAGACTGTACTGGAATGAGTCGTCGCATCGTGGGATAAAGTTCCGTCTCAAACTGTCACAAACTCTTTCAAAAAGACTGGTATATCTAACGCTCTTGATGGCACTGAAGATAACCTGGTTTATGAAGATCTTGAGACAGACGATGAAGAGCTTGGTGAAGAGATTGCCGATATATTTTTCAGTGACGATGATGACGAAGATTTTCTTAGTTTTTAAAATGTAAACCCATTGCCGTGACATCGTGTGGAAATGTCTATACACAAAACCAACGGCCCTTTTCAGGGCTACCACATCCTACCAAAAGAGTATACCGTTTACAAATACTGTGAATATGATATATGTTTGTGTTCATACGAATGTGTTATTTTTCTGTTTTTTCCCCGCAGTGCCCCATTGTTCACGCGCCATAAGTATTGTGTGCATCTCATTAACCCCTGACATGTCTAATTTGCATATCCCAGCGCCGTGTTATTTTCGATTCGGCCAAATGTTTGCAATAGAAGCCGCACCCCAACTTTTAGTAATTTAACTGGAAAGGCGGAGTTTCACTTTTTAATTTAAGCCGCGGCTACAATTACGAATTTTACGGTAACACAGAAAATTCATTCAAACCTATCCTCGAATTAACCGCACACATTCAATATTCTCACTATTTTAATCCTTTGAACAATGTGCATTTCTAAATTAATTTTTTAAACATATTTCTCCCATTGGCTATAGGTCTTTATCAAAACTTTTTAAAAATAAATATGGAAAAAAGTACAGTACTGTACAGTGGAACGTTTAATTTTCGATGCTAGAAACTGTCAGCGTTTAATGGTATTCACTTCTACAAAGAATGAAGAACATATCTTCAATTTGGCCTGAACCTATAATAAAATCGCATGCACCAAATTACCATGATGTTCTATTAATGTACCAAGTTCAAATCAAATCCATCCACGTACACGCAAAATACAGATTAATAATGTATACTAATAATAAGAAATACTAGATTTTCTTTAAGAAATATTATGTGTATAAATGAAATTGGTAAAAGCATAGAAGAGACAAGACCCTGGAATAACATTTTCAAATTAAAAATGGCTACTAGTCAGCCATTTAGAATCAGATACATGAAGCAAATGAAACAGATCATGATTATTGATGTTTTATATATGTACCAAATTTACAAAGAAAACAGATCAATAGTAACAGTTAATGCTGCTTTAATATCAAAGTCTATTCACTTTATCAGCAAAAACAACAACATTTAAACCCTACGAATAATTAATGTATTTACAGAATCCAGAAACAATGAATACCAAAGTCTCTAAATAAATATTAAATCACCTGTATAAAAGTACCTAAACCATGAAACTATGAGCAAAATTAGGACAAGTACATGACTGTACTCCTGGCTCCATATCTTTGTCAATATTACACCCCACCCCACCCCCCCCACCCCCCACACACACACACATATCTGGTCTAAGAAGTGTGAATATTTTGTATTCTCACTATCCACCTGAAGGTGTGCACAGTAATAGAATCCAGTACCTGTCAATCATTGCCCTTTACAGTGAACATATAACAGAACATGTGAGGGGAGGAGGATATGATGCTGGACACCGTAATTCTGTTCGGATTTAGATCATGCATCTTTTGAATAATAAGTCTCTTATTATTCGAAAGATGAAAAAGACCTCTTTAGAAAACAAGCCAGTTGCACTTACGTGTATGTGCAGGGCTTGATAAATAACATATAGCCCAAGGCACACAGACTACCAATTCTTGTCCAAGTGTTACCATCTTCTAAATTAGTAGCCCTACTTATAACAGGATAAATAGAATACTTACATCTATTGCACTCAAATTGTGTGCATGGTTCTGCGTGATTACCAAACCTTATGGACTACCCAATATGACCATGAGTGTACCAGCTTTTAAAATTGCTACCCCAGCGGGCTTTTCAAAAATGTTCTTTGACTTTGAGCCCTGATGCATTAGCTAGGAGTTTCCAGATCTTTGATTTAATACAAAAAAAACTCCTCTCCAGTTATAAAATAATGTGATTTCCTTGAGGTAACATTATGTATTCTACAAGTTGAATTGTGAAAAACCACATAGCTAAGCAGTGATGTTCTTCCCAGATAAACGCACATGTGTGGTGACTAATTTGCATAACAATATCTGAATTGAATATGTATTTTGTGAACCTTGATAGTTCCTTGAAAGTTCAACCATTTCAGTGGCCAAGCATAGTAAAACTGGAATGCTTAAAAGGCCTTGAGAGAACACTGATATGGGGAGTAAACCATCAAAACTAGAAATACATGTGCTGTATTTGGTCTATTAGAAGCATATCTCAAATAGAAGTGCATATATACCAAAAACTGCATTTATAGTCACTGACACCTTTTCAAGAATGCATTATGTATCATTAGCATAAATGGGTTAACTTTTTTGACAATGAGCTGTGAAAAAGTGTTTAACTATTAATATAATCACTAATTATCTTTTTTTTAAATTCAAGCTGGTTTTTCCCATGAAATTAATGCCAAAGAGTTGTAATTTAAAATTGATGAAACAGTTCCGGGAAGCATTAGACATTCTAAATATTCAGAAATTTCTGGATACCTCTGACTGTACCACAAATCACTCTGATTGGTTAATTATTAGAGTGATTTGTGGTACAGTTAATAATGGACTGACCTGACCTATCAGGTCTCAGCTCAACTTGTGCATGAAAAAAAGATGCCTACCACTTCACATTGAGTGTTTGTGTGCAACCAAAAACCTTTGCTTAAGAAGAAACTAAGTTGAAATTTACTGAAATTTCATAACAAACCAACAAATTTATTTTTAAAACGTTAATATAATAATGAAGTGGTAATAATCAATGTATGTAACACCTTGAAAACCAGAAAGTTATTTGCAAGTGAAATATCCTGACTGCAGATCATTTACTATACTAAGCGATGCATTTATGTTTGTTTCACAGAGTTCTCTTTTTCCCCACGAAAATATCAATAATCCAGGGTTCAAAAATTCAAAGGCCATAAAGGCAATTGCCTCAATGCCAAATCTGAATGCCTTGAAAATGGGTGCTCTTAGAATATCATAGGTCAAGCTCTGTTAATTGTTTGTTTTATTTTGGTTTTTACTGAAAAATGACAACTGTTAGAGATGCCTATTTTAGAACCAAATGGTCGCTTTTCACTGAAACATGAAGCGCAAATTAGAATGATGTATTAGTATTGTATGTACATCAATATAATGAAACAAAGAATTACTTCAGGAGCAGAAACAAAGTTTTGCAATAACAGACTAGGCTAATATATGTCAGAATCATCAGATATTAAAGAAAACGAGTATAGCAACAAGCAAAGATCACAGAGATAAAGTTGTAATACGACTGAGGCATCATCATAACACCCCTATAGTGGAGAGGGGGGTATTTTTCCTCAATTTAAAAAACAAACTACTTTTCAAATCCTAAATGAGGTTGCATTGAAAGTATAACACAAAAGTGCTACAAGAAATAACAGAGACATCAGTGACATGATTGTCTCTATTGTCAGGGTTATGTCCAAGTTGGATGTGCCTTTTGTTTTCTATTCCAACCTAATCCTGCGTCTTGATGTTTTTTTGTGTCCTTTCATGCTTGTGTACAGGTGTAAACATGTTACACTGACTTGAAGTCACTAAAAAAATGACCAAGTATGAATCATTTGAAGAATCACTGGCATAAATATTACACAAGTTAATTGTTTAGGCGTACCCACATATAAAAATATAAGAATTAAATGCAATCACTCTGTGATACAAAACACATTCATGAAATTATATCAAAAGAGCATCTCGAACAGAAGCACATACAAACCAACAATTGCATTATTTCACACTTAAATACTAGACAATTAAAATCAGACTTATTTTGACCACTACCATTTATGTAAATACATATGCTACCAAATAAACCAAATACGTAACCATTTTTATTCTTTTTTTTTCTACAAGTACTAGTATTCTTGTAGGCAAATGAGAAGTTGATCAAGAGCCTCATGATGAAACATGTCAAATGATACTTGTGTAGACTGACTTTGAAAAACTTTTTTTTTCAAATTTTCAAAGTAAAATTAATTATTTTGGCTAAGAAAGCAAGTTTTATTAAACAGGAGTAGTGGATGTCACAGTGTGTTCTAAGTATTTTCACATGATGTATACATTCGTATGTATCGCAAGTTCCATTGCCCTTTATGG